GGCAAACTCTCTGTGGACTCACTCCATCCTAACTCCTCCTCTTCCCCAGCTGCTCCCTCTTCACCTGTCCAGCCTCAGCCTCTCCTCTCCCAGCTCCCTGAGCACCCATTGAACATCCTCCCACTCCAGTGTGACCAGGATTCTTCTGCCTCCTGCCCAAAACCTCTGTCCCCACTGCCCTGGAGTCATGTCCACCACTCTCTTCCCTGTCCCTCTGAGCCCCTGTGAGGGCAGAGGATGCTGTAGGAACCATCAGACCTCCCTGCTTCCCAAGACGTTGATTTGAGCCTGAGAGGAGGGTTTGGGTGATGAGTTCTACCTCCAACAGAGACCACAGTGTCTTGTGTCAGTGTCTGCCCTGCCAAAAGGGAATCCAGCTGCATTCTGAGATGATTTCAATCTGAAGCGTCCACAGCTTCTCTGGGCAACCTGTTTTTCATGGCTGGGATCAGTGCAGAGAATTTCCTAGAGTGAGAGCAAGCACAGCACCAGGCTCTGACCAACCTACGAGCGCTGAGGACGTGGTTCCCGCGTCAGATCCTGCTCTTCCCATGGAGTGTTCTGACAGGAGGTCTCTCCTTGTCCCGCAGATGTCAGCCATCGAAACCATGACGGAGAAACTGGAGAGCTTTGCAGCCATGAAGGCAGACACTGGTACATCCCTGCAGCCCCTTCCACACCATCCCTTCAACTTCCGATCGCCACCGCCCACGTTATCCGACCCCATCCTGCGCAAGGGCAAGGAGCGCTACACCTGCAGGTGAGCTGGGACAGACCCACCCAGGCTGTGCAGGGACCCTGGGGGAGGCCACCCCAGCTGGGGAGCTGCACTGGGCACCAGCAGAGACCAGAGCAGCTCCACACAGACATCCCCGTGGGGGTGGGAGGGGAAACGAGGAGCAGCAGAATTAGACCAGAGCATCAGGATGACTAATTCCCTCTGAAATAGCTTGTTTTGTCTGGTAGAAAATCAGCGTCTTCTGTTTGCTTTGTAATTTTTAATAACCTTGAGAGCAGATCTGGAGATTCTCAAGCAAACCCAACGCTCCAAGCCAAGTCTCTTGCGTGCGGCAGCTCCCAGTGCCAGCGCAGCCTCAGCTGGATCCAGGCTCAGCCATGGAAAATGATGGAATTTTAAGAGATGGCATAGAGCAAACAGCTTTTTCTAGCACAGTCCTTTTGTACCCATTGCAGCTCTGAGCACTCATTTTGGAGCAGAGCTCTGGTACTGAGTAACAAACCTCTGTCTGCTTATCAGTTTAACCTGCAACTGCTTGAGGTTCTTGTGGTGGCTCCTACTGTGGTTTTTTGGGTGCAGAAAGTGGGTACTCTGTTATTCAGAGGTGAGTTTTGACCTCCACATCTCAACCCTCAGTACAGGGAGGGAGCTGTGAGTGAGTTGAGGGAATTGCAGATGTCGGGGTGAGGTGAATGGTGTAAGTGATGTGCTGTGACATCCGTGGTCTGAGCTGTGCTGATGGTTCCTCTGGGTTTCTCTCTCTAGGTACTGTGGTAAGATCTTCCCACGCTCAGCAAACCTGACGCGGCATCTGCGGACACACACTGGGGAGCAGCCTTACAGGTGAGCCTGTCCCCTCTCCCGAGCTCTCCTCACTCACCACTCCGTTAGTCTCTCCCCTCTCTCTCAAGCTGTGCCAGCAGAATACCACAGGCCTCTAGCATGACATAGAGTGATTCATAGGGTTGTATATTATGTGTGCCAGCCAAAAATAATCAGGCTTGGCAGCTTGAAGATAGACACTTAGCTTATATTTAGATGTATGCTGGCAAATGCCGCTCTGGTTTGCAGTGTTGTTTCACACTCAGGGTAACCATTCATCTCAAGGACAGCTGAAGGTGCTGAATGGCTCTGAAATTCAGGCTGGTTTGAAGGCCTTGCCAGGACCTTCACTGCTGGGTCTAGTTAGGGTTGTTTCTTTTTTGCTTTTCCTAATGCATATCAGAGGTGCTTGGAGGAATGGATCAAAAACACAAAGGAGAAGAAAAACCTTGTAGAATTACCCACTTTAAAATCAAAGTTTCTGACCTTAAAAAGTTTAAAAGGAGAGATGAGAGGGTGAAATTCACTCACAACCTCACACGTTCAGTGGGGATTTAAGGGAGAAAACTGAACTACTTTCTGCTAGTTCATAGAATCACAGAATCTCCTGAGCTGGAAGGGACCCACAAGGATCATCAATCCAACTCCAATCACAGGACACCCCAACAATCCACTCTGTGCCTGAGTGTTTGTCCTTTGAAGGCAGCTTCAGAAAGCTTCAGCAAAACCAAACTTTCCTGTTAGAATGAAATCCATATATGAGCAAACCTGAAGGAATGAGAGCTCACTGCAAACCAGGCATTGTGTTTTGTATGGTGTGAGTGTTTTGCACATTGTCAGACAACACTAACAATTCAGTTTCACTCTGGGTGGTTGATGTACAGCATTTCCACACACAGCTGTGAGTGCACAGGGGAGTGTAGAAGTTATCACATAAAGAGAAACACAAACTAATGAGCAGCAAAAGGCCACGTGGGCAAACCCATCACAGTTCCATGCTCAGTTTAACACGAGGAGTGACTCTCCCACACTGCAGTCCTAGTACACACTCACATCTCTTTTCCATACAGAATTCTGAGCAGAGACATTAGGTAAATTAAAAGTATTCCCCCTTCCTGCAAATCAGACAGATATTTTGGACCCATTCCCCACAGAGATGTTTTGGGTTGCACTACTTGATCTGCCTGAACAGACACTGTGTGTTCCCTGTCTGTCCCAAGTGCTCCATCCTGATTCTTTGGAGTCTTGGTTCAGTTTTCTTCCAAAAAAGGAGACTTGCAACCTAACAAAGGTTAGGAAAATAGAGATTTATTTGATCTGGTCTTCTCCCAGCAAAGGGGCTGTGTGGTTTGGGAGGTTTGGTCCTGGGCAGTGCTGTGCTCTAGCAGCACTTTGAAGCGTCAGAGCTGTGCTCAGAGGAGCTTTAATTACCACTGATTTGCTTTTGCTCTCAGAGAACTGAGGTTTCCAACTCTGGCAGCCAGAACTGGCTTGAAACCTTGTTTTTTATGTGCTGGCTTCATGCAGGTGAACGGAGCTGCTGAGTCCTCAGTGTTTACTGGTTCTCCCTTTGAACTCTGCTCTTCATTGTTTGAATGGTTTTCCTTTTGACTCTCTCAGTGTTATATATTCATCCAAATATCAACTGAAATGTCTTTAGAGCCAATGTAAACTGTTCAAATATCCACATGGACATCAAGAAACAGGCCAGAAAATAAGGTGCTTTGCTTTAGATTCCTGATTGTCACTGATAAGGGATTTTACCAAGAGTTTTTACCAAGATCAGAGTTTTTACCAAGTCACTTAAACCTCCTTGGGGTCTATTTAGTTATGCATAAGGTTGGAACTAATAGCACATGAGCAATTAGGAGGCAAATAGTTTTTATAAAGGGAAAGTGCTACATGGATTGTGAAGAGTGAGAAATACCTGGTAATGCTCTAGCTAAACATCAGTTGATTTGAACAGACTCTCAGACCATGTGTCCTGCAGTGAAATTCAACAGGTTTCACTCGTCTTTTCTGCACTAAATCTAGAATTTGAGAGCATTCCAAACCCAGTGGTAAAAAGCACTCTTTTTTTCAGGGTGGAACTGTGCTTGTTCTTGCTGATTTTCAAATGTTTTGGTTTTGGGAGTGATTTGATTTTATTTATTTTTGAAGAATGAAAAAGAAAAGCTTTAGAATTCTGATAAAATTGTCGTTTAAAAAGAGGTTTTGTTTTCCTCCTCGGTTAACCCTAACAAAGGTTTGTTATCTGAAATGTCTATTCTTTTTAGTGATGTAGCAGGAGGAAGTTTGAAGATGGACATGGAATCCCTAACCACTGGGCAAGAGTTTCATAAATGCATCCTTGCTATTCCCAAAAATAATGTCCATTTATTTTGAGAGCTCAAACAAAATTCTGCCCGTGACAGTGGTGGGACTGGATAATCTTTAAGGTCCTTCCAACCCAATTCTGGAATTCTAGAATTCTTATCCAGGACGAGCTCTGCTCAGTGGGGCAGGTGTTGCTCTGGGGAGGATGGAGAACTGCTGAACTGAGTGGATTTGTTCTGGAATTACAAATACAAAGTGGGAGCAGTGTTAATTCTGTCCCCCGAGTGTCCTGGATTTGTGGAGTCTGCAGCAGGGAAGGGATTCTGCTCGAGCCCCAGGGGCAGCAGCTTTGCTGCGGTGCAAGGGACACATTTAAAGGGAGATCTGAGGAGGGAGGGATGAGGTTTTTCGGCGGTTTTAGCCCCGAATTGGCAGCGCAGCTCGGAGCTGCCCTCTGCAGTCCATCCCTGCGCCTGGGCTGGAGCTCCTGCCAATCCCTGAGCATCCATTCCCTGTTTGTTTGGAGCAATCCGAGCCCCAGAGGAGGCTGAGGACCCTGAGCAAACCCAGCGCATCTGCCACGATCCTGCGAGATGCAGCTCACACAGGGAGCCTCACTCAGCACCTTCCCTACCCTTGGCTCCTCACCTCCCAGTTTTTTCTCATGGACCAGAGATTCACTAACAGGAGCAAATCGTATCCTGTTTGGAAAGTGTGGTGTATTTTTTGGGAGTTGTTGTGCTCTAAGTGTGACCACAATTGCCTCCAAGGACATGCTGTGTGTCCTGTGTCTCCAGCATCACAGGGAAACTCCCAACTGAAGCTGGAACTTTGTGTCCAGCTCACTGCCCTGCAGGGATCTGCCAGTTCATCACTACTTTACACCTTTCACCTTCTCTCTTCTTCTCTCTTCCTCGCCCTCCCTCCAGGGTCATACCCCACCTCATTCCCCACAACAGGAGAGAGGTGGAAGGAATAAATTCTCCTTTCTCATTTTTGCATTCATGTGTGGAAAAGTAATTACTTGGTTTAAAATTCCTATTTGTTTGGACAACTTGCTCCCTAATTAATCCTAATCCTTCCTTGGTGTTCCTTGAGTAACAATAATATCAGATTTGTCTGGAATGATTAATGCCTTGTGCTTCCCAAGTCCTCAGCTGGGTAAAGATTTATGGACCAACATTTCTCTGATAGTCAGATTTTTCTTTTTTTTTTTCCCCCTCTCACGTTTCACTCTTTGACATTTCCTTCTCTGTTTCAGGTGTAAATACTGTGACAGGTCGTTCAGCATTTCCTCCAACCTCCAGCGACACGTTCGGAACATCCATAACAAGGAGAAGCCATTCAAGTGTCACCTGTGCAACAGATGCTTCGGGCAGCAAACCAACCTGGACAGGCACCTGAAGAAACACGAGCACGAGAACGTGCCAGGTAGGAAAGGACTGTGTGGATCTCTTGGGGCACTGGAGGGAGAAGACACCATCACTGGTCTCTTTGGCCCCTGGGAAGCCTTTCTGGGATGTGCTGTTTCTTAGGGCTGTGTGAAGTTCAAGAAGATGAATAGATTTTGCTTTAAGGTAAAAACTAAAGGAAGAAGTTAAGTCAAGGAAGTGATTTCCCAGCCTAGGTAAAAAAACATGATGGAAATGTTACAGCAAACAGCTCTGCAATGGATAGAAGTTCTTGAATTGTATGTAACATCCATAAAGGCTAAATATCACCTGTATTTCTGGAAAACATGAGCTTCCTTTGGGACCTTTGCTCCGGGAGCTTCATCTGAAATGTTAAATCATTAATACGTGGTGAGAGGAGTGTTGATAATGTTCCTCCTTTAGTTTCCCATTAATAATGGCCTTGACAACACCTGATGGTGTCTCCTGTTCTGTCTCTCCTGCAGTGAGCCAGCACTCCGGAGTCATCACAAACCACCTTGGGACCAGTGCCTCTTCCCCCAACTCGGAATCAGACAACCATGCACTTTTAGATGAAAAAGAGGATTCATATTTCTCAGAAATCAGAAATTTTATTGCAAATAGTGAGATGAATCAAGCGTCAACTTTAGCAGATAAAAGGTAGACACGAAAATGGAATTATCTGGTGGCAGAACAGGCACAAGTAGAAGTGGGAGGGAATTTAGGCTTCCTCCTCCTGGTTGCTCAAAGGGAGATTGTTGGAATAGAGGAAAGGAGGAAAACTGCTTGTCCCACAGATGTCATATGTTAGACGGAAAAGCATCATTTAAATCCAAACTAGACAAATTCAGGTCTGAAAAGCCTTGGGGTTGGTGTATTCTTGCCATACTTTTGTCTCTTAAGATACTGTGAAGGTTGATTTTTAATGCCTTTTCCCTGCAGTTTAATTTATATATATAT